AAAATCTGTTCCACTAAACCAAGTATAAACTCATGAATTTAACAGAAACACACTCCCTAACTTCTGTGTGACTGGGGAGGAACAGTGGATGTTATGTATGTTCAGGCTGTAGAAGGTAAATAGTTAACATTAATAAAAACGTTGTGGGCATAAACTCAGCTTCTGTTTCTGAAAAAGTATACTGCTCACTGTTCCTCCCATTTCATAGTTAACACAAGGTTATATAAAGGATTCTGCCAATATAACAACACAAAATTCGATTGTCTGACTCGAGCTTTAAGCTGAGAAAACCAGCGAAAGCAATCTAAAAAAGGCACGAAAAACACATTAAGCAAGTGATTCGAGAGGGAACGAGAGAAACTTGATCTCCACCATCGCCTGCAAGAGAATACCTGGAACAGCAGCACCATCCCCTGCCCACACGGTGAATGGCACAGGCACTGCCTGAAGAAAACAACACTCTTGTCCCGTTTGCGAAATAGCAACTCAACTCACTCTATCGACACAGACAAAATTGAGCTGTAACTATAGGCACTAAAAGACTAGCAGCAAAGCTTTCCACTTAGCTCCTTTTGCTGATTATGGCAAGACTTCCTAAAGGCACAACTGGAAAAAACCTTTTGTGGTTTGTTTGCTTTATCTGCAGCCACTCCATGAACTTTTGTCAATTCTGTAGATGCTATGTTGAAGAGGGACAAAATAACCACACGACTAAAAGCTTTCCTGAGTTTAAGAGATTCAGTCTTCCATTTACAGGTCAGAAATACAATGTCAGGAGTCAGGAACTATGGATACTTGACAGGTGAATTATCTACAAAGTGCTTTTCAGCCACAGTCCACATACCTATCCCAGGCTCTGGATTCTGTTTCAGCACCATTTTCAACAGAGTCTTTCTGCAGAATTTTTGTTTCCATTCAAAACTTGAAAGACACTGAAAGAATTCATTTCAGAGGAGAAAGTTAGTATTTGTGATGGAAGCCACCCAGGGCAGCTGCATGTTCTGCACCAGCCACCTCACCTCTCCCTAAAGGACAAGTGAAGGCAGCTACGAGCCTCCCTGGTACGAATGTACAGCTATGGACACAGGGATGAAATGGGGGGAAAAGAGACTACTTGAGCTGTAGAAAGGTCCCATTTCTGAGGCACTTTACTACATGTCTGACAGGACAAAAGTCATCCTTAAAGTCAGCATCTCTATTAACAGCTTCAGCAGAGAAACAGAACCTCCATCAGTTAAGGACTGATGTAACCCCATTTCTCTGTAGCCACCCACTCTCCAACAAGCTTCAAATGAAAATGTAGTAAAAGGTTTGCATCCTGTCCTGGTGCAGCAGCCTCACCTCTCCCCAGCCCATTCCTCTCTGGAGGGTCAGGGCAAGGCAAAAAAAACCCTCAGCTCTGAATGCTCTCAAGTGACATTTCCAGAGGACACCAAAAACTCCCATACAGAACTCAAAATCATCCCCAGTCTTCAGTGCAATGACTCACCAGCTCCCTGGACATACTTTGCTGATATATGACTTTTAGATGTATTGGACACTAAATCAAGGAGGAGAGTTATTGCTTAAGGTTTTCATGCCTAATATTGCCTTGTTCATAAATTATTGCTTTCGAGACAGATTTGAGCAAATAAATGCCCATAGCAATTCCAGCTGTCACAGAGCTGGAGTGAGATGAAGAAATAATACGAATAGCACTTATCATGAATCCAAATCAAGAAAAATAATTTTATATGCATCAATGAAAAAAACGAGGGGAAAAAAAAAAATCAAGCAAAGAAGCTAATAAATTCCACCTTTTTTTTGGCCAATACACTGTAATAGAGCTGAGATAAACATTTGGTGATGAAAGCAAACTAAGAGTACCATATTTATAGCACTAAAATAGCTCTTCTGGCAAATCCAACAATATTTGATTTATTGAAGTTTGCTTTAAAACAGATTCTTCACAGTTAAGAGGGTTGATTTTAGTGCTCATACTCCAACTTGCTCTTGACTTCCTGAAGAGACTGATAGCATTTCTCAGCACATCAAAGCTGTGGTAGAAATGAACTGAACACAAATTTTCATGAATCAAAATCAGAAGACAGAGAAAAATAACCCAAACACACCAATGATTAACTATTGCCACAAAGGAAGTAATTAACTTATTAGCAGCTGTAGTTTAAAGCTCTAATAGGATTGCACTGTACTGGAGATTCCAAACTGCGTTCCTGAAGGGATATTGCATACCAAACACTAGAAATACACAATTCAATAAACTTTGTTCCATTGTAATTAGACTGGTTAGAGAAAACATAGGTTGTCACACTTTGTTTTCTTGTTTAATTACTTCAAAAGGCAATTTCAAACACTTTTGTCCATTTGCATATAGAAACACCATAGAATTTCGAGGTCGGAAAGGACCTTACAGATCGTCTAGATCTAACCCTCTGCCCTGGGCAGGGACACTTCCTCACTAGATCAGGTTGCTCAAGGCTCATCCAGCCTGGCCTTGAACACTGCCAGGGCTGGAGCAGCCACAGCCTCCCTGGGCAACCTGTGCCAGTGTCTCACCACCCTTAGAGTAAAAAACTTCTTTCTCACATCTTGAAAGTTTCTGCAGATGACTGGTATTATCCTGGCCCTGAACACAACTCTTGTTCAGAGTTACTGCCTACAAATTCTGGCAGTAATTTACATCAGTCCATTTGAGCCATAAGCATCAGGTTTGTGATAATGGTCAGACTCGGCTGGAACAGCTTCACATGTGAACCAAAATCAGCAAGAGGACTGATAAAAAAAAATCATGAAGACCTGGTGCTATTCTCCTAAGTATTCTAAATAAACTGAAAGAAGCTGAAAAATTACATGTAGTGTCTAATATCTAAATGAGCAGAAAGCAGAAAATGTGGCACCTTAGCAAAAGTTGTAGAGGGATCTATGAGGCTGAAGCCACAGAGCAGTAATTCCAATATCTATAGTGAACAAAGGGATAAAAACCAAGTGATGAATATCAAGAGTGATGGTGATAAATGTGATACATTGCAGAAGAGCCAGCACAGCTTTTGTGCATGACTTGATCTCAGCAAATACTAAATCAATTTTAAAAAGGCTAAAAAACCAAACCCACCACAAACCCCAAAACTTCCTGCCATCCCAAGATATTCCTAGGCAGTGCCCACGCTACACTTGCAGTGTGTGCAGTTGGTCATGTAATTCAGGGATGACCAGCTGAAAATTTACAATCCTTGCTAACACATTTGTAAACACTCAGTAAAAAGCAAAACTGACAAGTGCTGAAAATTAATCCCAGGAAAGAGAAGAAAGCAAAATCTGAACAGGTAATTTTTTTCTTCTGCCAAACATATAAAGATCTAAACAAAACTATTCCTGCTTGAATATTATTACCATTTTATCATGTTCTTTGGAAAAGATTTTATCATAGTCCAAACCCCTCCACTGTGTCAAGCTGGTAAACACAACAGAGACAGAGCAGGTTTGTAACTGGTACAGGAGCAAACCACACAAACACAACATGAAGAGGAGGCAGAGCACAATGACAGTAGCACCACTTAGTCAGTTTAAACTGTGGTGGAGTTGCAAATCAAAACCACAGTTGTCCCTACCTACAGCAGGGACACAGACTCCAGCGAACTGTGCAGGAAGAGCAGAGAAAAGCATTTAACTGCCTCATTAAAACAAACAAACCAACCTACCTGTTGTACTGGATTTATGTCTGCAAGTCTTAAATCTGGACAAAAAAGCAGGGAAGAGCAAGAGTGAGAGTGCAAGAGCAGGAA